GATGCTCTGAAATTGGTCACACAATTTTTGAATCAACCGGTATAAGCCAAATTTTATTACTATCGAAACATTTTTCATAAAAGGAGAATCTTTTGAATTATGTGATTTTTTTCTCATTTTTTGCCTAAAAATTGCATTTTAATAATTTTTTCTTGTATGTATATTCTAATATTAAGTATTGAAAAATTAGTCATTTATACACTTTTTTCAAAATTACGGTTCAGAGCGTAGTCAGTCACCTTAAACCAATATACTCATTATATAAATACCATTAATTATTTCTTGGTAAATTAACCTTCAAGTAAATCAGCTGTATTGTTAATATTTCTTTCTGTTCAGTACTCAACAAAATCCTAATCTTATTAGCTAAAATAAAATGAAACAGAAATTATTTTTGCTCTTTTCCTCCTACTGAAGAGCTTGCTCATGCTGAAAATTTAAAATCAAAATTTCTGTCAGAGAGCCAATTTTATTTTAAACCAAATTTTCCGGTTACTGCATCTGTCAAAAGAACTAGAAAAATGGACATATAACTTCATTTGGATTTTTCTGTTTATTTGGATTTGAAAGACATAAAATATACTTAGCTGCATTTCTGTGTAATTTGTTATTTTAGTTTTTAGATGTCATTCAGTCGCGATTACGAAATTGTGCAGATCAATAGCGCACACAAGGAGGAGGGGAGGGGCGAACCCCACCAAAATCCTTATTTTTTTTCGATTAATAATAATTTTATGTATATATTACATATAATTTAATTAAATATTTGTTATTAATAATTAATTTTATTAATTAATGCTAATTATCTATTCAATAATTAATTTTTTTACTGTTTTTTGTTCCGGAAAATCGACAAAAGTAAAAGAATATGTCGAGTGGTGCATTGGAGCATGATACAAGAATGGTGGGCTTTCGATCCTGGACCACCCCTTTGAAAAATTCCTATATGCGCCATTGGTGTGGATACCCTTGTATAATAATGTATAATAAACATTTCATAAATATTTATAGAAATGTAACGTGAAATGTTAAACTTCACCCCTCAGGTTTCTTAATAAAAACGACGACGTACACCTGTATTTATTTGGTAGTAGTGTTGTAATTGTTGGAAAAAATAAACGAAACGATTCAAAAAGTTTATAAAATAATTTCTGTAAAATTTTAAGTAAGCGCTATTGCTAAAATCTATATTGGTAATTGTAATTTTTTTTCTATAATAAATTTTTATGAATTTTTTTATTCTAAAAATTAGTAAAAAGCATACACATATATAACCTCTCTTTCTCTGAACCTCATTTTTCTATCCAAAGTTAAAATATTATTCTAATTGTGTTCATAAGATAAAAACTTCATTTGAAAAACTTCTTTTTTATTTTGATTTACAAAATACAAAAATTTCAAGAGAATTTTCTGTAATTTCAAATTTAAGTTTTAAAACATTACGTAATTTGTGTGTTCCTTCCAAGCTAGAATTTAGAATTTTTTTACTTAATGGTTCATTTATATCAAGCCCATATCTGTTTGTATTGTCCATTCATTAAGAGAGTAAGTTTCGGGGTGGATGGCTTACAAATCTGTGTGTTAATTTTCGTCTTGATTCTATGAAAGTCCTGTCGCATGAAATAATGAATAATTCTGCTCTCTAAGACTTCACATGAGAATTAATTTTTATTCTACCCGCCTAACGGGAACTAATCGTGACTTTAACTCTCAAAAACTAAAAGGTTAGCGTTTTTAAATCACGATGATGCAAACTGCCATCACCCGCGTATGTGGATCAATCACAAAAGCCTTGTAACATTTTCCCGTCACACAGCGGAAAAGTTGGCTTCTTTTTATGGATAGGATAGCCGCGTTCCTATGCACACGTGCGCCCTTAAAATGTTACGAAAGTCTTTCCTTTGGTCATCTCCCCGGCAACGTTTGACGCCGTTAGAACTCCCTGCTCCCCCCCCCCGAGCCGGATGTAGCTCGAGGATAAGGAGACCAACTGCTACCATCCCGAGACCCTAGGCAGAAAAAAGTCCATTGGAAACCTTCGAACAGGACAGATGTAATTTCCTCCCTCGCAAACAACAGAATTTGGACTATAATGAACTAACCAACCTTTTAATAACTGCAAAGTATATACTGTAATTAATAGCTGTGACGTAAATAAACCAATTATTTAAATTAATAAATATCACGCTACCATTATTTTTCTCAAACGTCCCAACTTTTATCGGAAATTACATAATTTTAAAACTTCCAGTTGACTATGTCTATAAATACACGACAT